TAATTCAGACAAAGTCATCATTTGGGCTCACATTGGCTCTGTGACCACTTGATGGTTAGAAAGCTTTCCATGTGGGTGTTTCATTTGATGTTCCCACCAACCATAAGCACTATGGCAGGAGACTTGCTCCGGGTCCTAAAGCAAGTAAAGTGGCAGAGCCAGACTTCTGCTCTGTTTTCCTTCCTGTGCCTTGCTGACCCTATGACTGCTGAAGGCCATCTCTATCCAGTTGGAATCCTCCCCCTCTCCAGTGGAACCAGCCCTGCCATCTCTCCATGGCAGAGGATGGAGCTCAGTCACTGAAGGGAGCAGAGTGCTCTAATGCTGCCGGGCCCCCTTGCCCTGCTGCACATCTCACGGCAGCTAATGAATTGCTGATACAATTTTCTAGATAATTTTATTTCCATAGTCCCACATTTTAATGTGTTTCCAAAAGCTAGCATTTATTTGCTTAATCTCCCAGTGTAATAGAATCTGCCCTGACTCATCATACATGTGAACAATCAGCTAGGCAGAAATGACAGCAAATTGTTTAATAACTCAAATTGCGTCTCTAGATTTTTAACTTGCATGCACCAATAGCTTTTCTTCTGTCTTATCCACTTTCCCTCCGCCCTTTTCTGTTTTTCTTTTTTAACAAATGCTTTTTGATCATCAAGACTGTTGGTCTCCAAGCACAAGAATAGGAAAGTGAATACAGGCCTTATGAATCTCCTCTTCCCCCTAAGCCTCAGTTGGTGGCTAAGTGGCTGAGGAGAGCTCCTGTGCCTTGTGTGATGTCCCAGGAAGGGGAGAAAGACCACTGGAGGGACGGTGGCATTTCCTTCCCAACTGGTGATCATAAAACTGTACATGGACAAGCTGTAGAGCTGTCCATCTGGGACTTTGTGGATGCTGCTCTTTGCTATTGCAGTCTGGGCCAAAGTCCTGTTGTGACACCTTCCTGGGATTTCATTTTTCCACCTCTCCTGTCTTCAGTGCTCTTCTTGTGGTAGTACGGGAACCATCAGCTCCCTGCTTCCAACTACCTGCACCTGCTGTTGTTTCCTTGCTGTGGGCCAAGCCATCGCCCTTCAGTGCAGGCTTTAGCAGGCTTGCACTCCTCTCTTAGTGTTTTTGGGCTGCTGGAATGCATTGCCATAGACTTAGGAGATTTATTTTTTTTATTAAATTCTTTTATTGGTACATTGTAGGTATACAACACAATTACATTTCTCATTGGAAATTGTACCTTTACATAATGCATCTTGGTTCTTATTTTTTCCCCATTCCTAGCCCTCCCTTCACCCCCTCCACCCTTCCCTATTTACAAAGACTTTATTTCCATTTTTCCATTTCTCATCATTTTTCCTTTCCCTTCTTTCCTTTCCCCTGCCCCTCCCACTACCCCTACCCCTTTGGACCTTTTCTTCCTATTTTGCATTATCGATTATTCATTCTAATCATTGGTACATTTTAGGTATACAGTATAATGACATTCATCATTGGAAATTTGCACTTTACATAGTCTCTCTTGGCAAGGGTGAAAAATAAAAAAATAAGGACTTGGGAGATTTATAAAGACAGGAATTTATTTCTTATGGTCCTGGAGATTAGGAAATCTGAGATCATGGTGCCAGCATGGCCGAGTTCTGGTAAGGCCCTTCTTCCTGCTTGCAGATTCATGACATCTTGCTGTCCTCATATGGTAGAAAGGGACTAATAAGCTCTTTGGGGGTACTTTCTATAAAAGCACTAATCCCATTCTTGAGGACTCTACTCTCACAATGGAATACCTCCTACAGGCCTCACCTAATATCATCACTTCAGTGTCAGGATTTCAACAGGTGCATCGAGGAGGGTGCAGACCTTCAGACCATGGCCACCCCCAGTCTTTCTGTGGCCCTGGCATCTACACAGTTCCACTGGTACATGTAGTCACCTGTGATCTGACCCCCAGGTTAGCTCCATCCTTAGGGCTGGTCTGCTATGCCATCTGCTCTGACATTTGCTTGTAGTGTTTCTTTATCCTGGCCCTGGTACTCCACCACCAGCTCTTGGCTTCTCAGATAAACTCCATTCTCAAGGGCTGACTCAGAATTTTCTGTGAAGTCCACTCAGAGTCATCTTTTCTGTATTCTGGATAGCTGTTGACTCACCAATGTCTCCCATTGTTTGAGACTTAGTTTCCCTGCCCAATCTCAGACTCCCCCTGGTCACCTAGTATAGTGCCCACAGTTGATAATGGGTCAGAAAGTCAGCTAAATGGGCAGAAATATGGTTTCAGGCTGTTCTGAGAGCAGGGGCCACCAGCGAGAGACAGCTTTAAGGGGACTTGAGAAGAGCAAGGGAGGCAAAGTGCTACAGCATCCTCAGTTGGGACTGCTGGGTGGTCCCAAGCCCAGGTCACCTCTTGGGCTGGGTTTAGAGGCTCAGAGTGTCCTGCTCGGGTGCCATCCATGCTCCCTGTGCTTGCATGCTGGTGGTGGGGGGAGTCTTGGAGGAGGCCTAGGAGAAGCCTTGCCTCTTGAAGAGTATGGCTTGCCCAGGAAGCCTGATGCTTCTTGCTGATCTAAGGCAGCTCCTTGAACACTTGGCCTAATTAGGAGTTTCTGTGGGATGAGGGCTAAGGGCAAAGAGGGACACGGATGCTGGGAACTCTCAGGCTGAAGCAGCAGGGCTGCTGTGTCACAGAACATGCTGCAGAGAGACTCTGCTCCTATGCATGTTGACTGGGCTGAACTGGACACTGAGGGGCTCACTGTCTGCTTCTGTCCTGGCAGACTACTTCCTTCCATGTGTCCCCTCCAACAGGTGGAGCTGAGCATACTAATCAATACCTCCTAGAAATCTTGCTGGCTCTTCTGGGGTTGCAAGCCTTTTGGAAGGCTTACAAAAGCTGTGGCTTGTGACCAGCCTCCTGTAAACCCTTCCTGGCCCTGGATTCTCTAGCCATTGCTGGGGAAAGCCCTGGGTGCATTGGTGCTTGCTTCTTGCTGTTATTAGACGTCTGTCTGTTACAGGAAAAGCCAAGACACACAAGAGGCCAGCCCAGAGAGGTCAAATTGAGCCCAGCCCCATGGTTTCTAAAATCAACAGATCAGGCAGATAGATCCCAGTTCTACCTTTCTTACCATGTGACCTTAGGCTAGTTATTTAATCTTTATGTTTCTCCATGTGTAGAAAGTGGGATAAGAATGCTTGTCTTGTAGTGATGGAAGTTTTAAATGTGATGACAACATAAAGCCCATAGCACAATGCCTGTAGTTCTTCCCTTCTGCTCTTTGAAAAACAGGAATAAAATCAAGTTCTAGCTCATATTCCTGTGTCCCCACTCCCCTGCTCTGCCTTCCTGGCTGCTGGCCTGATGGAGCATGGCTGCAGGATGGAGCTGGCTGTGGGTACCTTGACTTCAGTGTTTGCAAAAGGAGGGGCCATGAGTGTTCGAGCCAGGAGAGTGAAGGGTGAGAGAAAGAACTGTTCCTACCTTCCCACTAGTCAATTCCAAACCCAGCCATGAATGACCTGAGCTGGCAAGAACCAGATTTCTCATTTGCTGTCTCCATTGCTGAGCCACAAAGTAAGCAAGATTCATGTTGTCCCTTCTTTTCCCCCTCACCTGCCACCAGAAGCTCCTTGACTCTACACCAAGCAGTCCATGGCTTCTATCAGCCAAAGCTGTGGTCCTCCTCCAGTCTGGACCTCAGGGAGGGGATGGCATTGTGGGGTTGCGCACAGGTGTTGTCCCCCCAGATGCCAGCAGAGACAAGAAGGGGGTACTGATGTACTTTAGGAACTGGAATTCAAAATGGTAGACAGTGAACTACCATTGAGAGACAGAAGTGGAGTTAGACACTTCTCATATGGTCCTATAGCCAGAAAGACTGTGGCTTCAGAGCAGCACCAGGAAGAGGTTGATAAGTGAAAAACACAGCATGTCTGTGGGGTACTGTGCTACTGGGGCAGTACAGGGAATGACAGACAGAATGAAATGAAAATATGTCATTCACTAGCTGAAAATCCTCTGATAATTGCCCCTAGGTTCTAGGAAGAAACCTAAAGATCTCAACATGGTGTTCAGGACCCCACATGACCCAGCTCCTGGCCCTCTCTCTTTAGCTTCCTTCTCCCTAACACTCTGCCTGCTCCCCCAGCCATGCAGGTCTTCTGATCTGATCTTCTGACCCAGTAAGTTTCTTTCCAACTCTGAGTGCCACAGATACCATCCCATCACTAAAGAGTGCTTTCTCCATTGGCCTACTGTGGCATCTATGATTAGAGCAGGGGCTTTGTGTGCTCTTCTCTTATATCCCCAGTGCCACAAAGAGGGTCCTATTTATGGAAGCCATCACAATAATATTTGTTGAATGAATGGACTCAAGATTCATGCTTTAATGACTGAAAAAGTGGTTATAAGAATAGGATATGTAGCTACTTTTACAAAAGGATTCAAATCCAGGCTGCCTGGTGTAAATCCCAGAGAAACTGTCACTTATGAACTCCATGAAGCTTTGGAGAAGTTACTCAGTTGTGCCTCAGTTTTCTCATGTGAAAGGTGAGGATGATGGAGACAACCTTTTGAAATTATGATTTTGAGTTAGTTTCATTATTATTACATTATGATCTTTGTTATTGTTGGTCCTTGCAGAGCCTACTCTGCTTCCCCACTGCTTACCCACACTCTCGGGAAAGTCACTCTGATTCTGCCCTTAGTACTCTATCTTCTACATAGTGTCTGACATACTTGAGAATTGACGCTTCCTGTTGCCACGTATGTGATTGACGCCTGTTTTCCCCCCACTAGTCCTTAGGTCCTATCAGGGAAGGATGCCTATCAATTTTGTCTCTTGGAACCACAGGCAGGGTGTTCAGTCCACACTGTGCAGCGGCCTGGCTGCCTCTGATTTGCCCTTGGAATTGGGGCCACTTGTCCTGACGCTGGCTCCTCTGTTAGGCTGGATGGGTAAAGAATCGCCTTGGGCCCCCCTCCTCCTGAGCTCTCCCTCTGTTGTCTCCAACAGGCACGGACATGGCTGTCTTCTGTCTGCTGTGTGGGAAGCGCTTCCAGGCACAGAGTGCACTCCAGCAGCACATGGAGGTCCACGCGGGCGTGCGCAGCTACATCTGCAGTGAGTGCAACCGCACCTTCCCCAGCCACACCGCCCTCAAGCGTCACCTGCGCTCACACACAGGTAGGCCGGTCCAGGGGATGGGTGGGTCTGGGCCTCTGGGAGCTCATGTCTAGATTTACCTCCAGAGACATAAAGTGAAGGCGCCAGACTGAGTCACCTTTCTTTGTTCAAGGGATGGACACGTGGGATTTCCAGTAATGCAGGGAAATGTGTAGTTTTTCTCCCAATCCTGTACTAGAGACCATTGGTTCTCAATCTTTCCTTGCTCAGCACAGAACAGAAGATGTTCACTTTTTATATAGACTCTTGGGTTTCATGTTCAGAAATCTTGATTCACTGTGTCCGGGGCCGGGGCGGGGGGGGGGGCGGGATCCAAACCTCAGCACTATTAATGAGTGTTCCTAAAGGATTCTGACATAGATGGACCCAAAATGCATTTTGAAAACAAATGACTTTCTGAGTCTCCAACTCTTTGTGCCACAGCCCCACCATTCCTGCTGCCTGGAGTCCGCATACACACTCCTGAAGTCAGCCCCCAGCTCTTAAGGGCCTGCTAAACAAATCATTCTTCTTTCTCCACAACAGCAGAAGTTCTCTGCTCTAGACTCAGCATTATGTGGGGAAGACAATGAGGGCATTTAAGCAATGAGCCACGATATATCCCTGCACAGCCGGGTCCACAGGATGGGGTGAGAGAGAGGTGTGAGACAAGGAGGCTTGGCCAAGGACCCAAGTACTGGCATGTCACTGGCACTAGCATCTGGGTTTTGAGGGGGGACAGTTGGTGTCTGAGATCCAAGAGGCATTTGGGTTCCTGCACATGTGTTCTGTCTTGGATTAGGAGAGGGATGGGGTTAGGGCTCTATAATAAGGTGCATGCTTGTGCCTGTTGGACAGGGTATAAAAGCTCCATATGCCTTAGAGGGATGGCAAGACCACACACACACACACACACACACACACACACACACTCTTTCTCTCTTTCTCATTCTTCTTCTTTTTTTTTTTTTTTTGAGATAGGGTCTCAGTATATAGTTCAGACTGGCCTTGAACCCACTATGTAGTCCAGGCAGGCCTGCCTCAAACTCACAGTAATCCTCCTGCCTCAGCCTCCCAAGTGCTGGGATTACAGGCATGCAGCACCACACCTGACTTCTCTTTCTCACTCTTGGGAGTCTTCCCACAGCTCAGAAATTAAATATGAGACTGGGTTTTACACGGTGACAGTCTCTGCTGAACAAGGAAAGGCTTTGCTGTCACAGACTGAGCTAGGCTGTCCTGCCAGCAGTGGCATCCTCACCAAGGAGCCTACCTGGGCCCTCATTGCTGGATGCTGTTCTGTTCCAAGGAGCCTTTGCATCACCATTTGCTTAGAATTACTTAGGATTGCTGGTGGGGGGGAGCAGAGGGTAGAGTCCAACAAGAGAAGGGATGGAGACAAGAACTGTCTCTATAGTGACTGCATCTCCCCTACAGGTGTATGCACCTTCCTGCTCTGGTATCCTTCTCAACGGGTCCCCAAATTCAGCCTTATAAAAGATGGCAAACTCCCTTGCAGCTGCTTCTGAGCATGCCACTGGATCAAATCACTTGGCTTCAAGTGACATGAAAGATTCTGTCTCTACTAAGTCACTGAGGATGACACCCCCCTTTGCCTGTGCCACCTAGGAGCTCAGATACCCAAATGTCAATCCTGCTTTGCCCTATGTCAATCATGGTTCAGATTGATGGGCAGGGACAGAGTTTGGGAGAAGCCCTTGCTTCTAGGAATCACAGAACATGTGTGCAGCCTATAACACACACACACAAACACACACACACACAAATACCCATCCATTTTCACGCCAGCCATACACAGGCTCTGCACACCCTCTACACAATGCCTCATTAATATTCTGTTGTTCTTGGCCCATTTGCTGCTGGGGCTGGGTGTTTAGCATCAGCAGCTGTGTTTGGTAGGTTAGTCCAGCCGTGCTCTTGGCATTGATGGATCCCTGATTCACACAGCTCATCATATAATAAACTCTCAGCTGTGCTGAAGGGAGGGGCCCGAGGAACCTGGGGATGGGGCTGGGGTGAGGAGAATGACACTGGGCTTGGCAAGAGCCAGGGAAGCCAGGTAATGACAAACTGGGGAGGGGGGTCACAGGTGCACTGGGCAGGCCAGAGGGGCTCTAATTAGTCTCGTTTGTCCTGTACTTAATGTCAAGCTCATTAACGAGTCTACAGAGTTAATCAACATACCACAAATTGGATTTTGAGTCCTGCCTCCAGTTTTGTGTACATTATGGGCCACACTGACGTGATTAACACGTAGGGTGAGGGTTGTGGGCCAGGTGCTTGACAGGCTGCAGAATCTGGGTGTGTATGCGTGCATGCATGTGTGTTGGTGCCTTGTCTTTCTTTTTTTCCAAGTTCTTTTTATTCCGTTCCCTGGGCAGACTCAAGAGAGTTCCTGTTTAAACTCATTTAACATGTGATCCACTTCATAATGAAATTCATAAAAATGATCAAACAGACCCCTCTGATGTTTTTTAAACTCCTAGGGCCCCCCTCTGGAGGTGAAAAGCACGCATAAGCAGCTGTCCCCCCTCACACCCCCGGGCTGGGTGGCTGCTGATGTACGTTTTAATTACCAGCTCTGGCTGAAGTCTCATGTGCCCCTTGCTTTATTTATTTATTTATATCTTAATGAGGATACTGAATCTTTGATTAAAGTCGTAATCGTTGCCGATTTGGTAAGGAGGGGGAGTCGGTTGTCAGACCAGACGGGCCACGTGTGCAGACACAGAGGGAGAGTGTTGGGAGGGCACACACACACTCACCCTCACTCTTCTGCACACAAGCAGTTAGTACCAGCTCTGCATGAGCCTTCATTCCCCTTGGGTTCGATGAGGCTGGGGATTGAGGAATGAGCAGACTGCATATCCCTGGCAGCAGGAAGACAGGAGTACTGGTTTTCCCGTCAGAGAATGCTAGGACTTAGTGCATTGCCACATCTGTGAGTGAGGACTTAGCTGCCAGCCATGCCTCTGAGCAAGGTGGTACCCACAGATCAGTGTGAACTAGACCAAGATGGCCCAGCTCTTGGAGCTTCCTCGATGGAACTGACCCCCGCCCCATGGCCTCCATGCGCCTTACAGATCTTCCACCCATGAGCCAGTGAACAGACCCAGCATCAGCTCCCCACAGAGTCTTAAAAACCCTTCAGAGCCATCAGAAGAGATGAGAATTTATGTGGGGATGGGGGTCTGCATTCGGGCGGGGGGAGGTTTGGTTAGTGGCCTGTGGAAGGGAGAGAGAGGAGAGAGTAAAATATCATTTTAAAGAGGAAGTGAAGGCATAGGCATGCGAGTCTATAAGGAGAAGGACAATTTATGCCCAGGCACGAGTGCAGTTTGACATGGGGATAATGAAAAAACGTAGGTCATTGTGGATGACTTAAACCTTCAGCAGCTGAAGAAAATGTATGAAATGCAGAGGACATTACACGGTTGGCAGCCCCGCACATCTGCAGAGGGACAAGTGAAATACAGTGGGCCATTCTTTACCATAAACTGTGGTTGTTGGAGACACAGCCCAGAGAAATTGTAATTACAGTGACAAGACGAATCAGTGATATTTAAATATTCATGAACAAAGTCTAGGGTGATCAATCTATCTTTATTGTCTTTGCCTTCACTCCTATAATAAATAAGTAGCTGAAGTCCTCACCTTTCATCCCCTGAAACCCCACTTTGGGGACGTAATGCACACCCCTGCCTCTCACCCACAGGGGACTTAAGAGTGGGATACCCATAAGAGGGTGCAGATGTTCCTTGTTTACCAACCTACCTGCTTAACAACTGCAGACAGAGGTGTGCTGTTTGGCCTTAGGACTTATAACCCATCTTTTTATTTTTCTACACTACACCTTGTTTATACAGCACTGTAATTTTTGGTCATTGCACTGTACAGTACAGTATTGGAATTTTATGTTGTTATACATTACAGTTACGCAGTGTAAGAGTTATGCAAATAAAAGCAAAGTCATCAAGTTGGAGTTTCCCTTGGCCATTTTTTTGTTTTGAATATCGTAACATACATGCCATATAAAATTCCTCATTTAGTGACCAATTCATTTAACAGCCTAGTCACAGGAATGGCACTCTGTTATTAAAAGAGGAATGTCTGTAATGGGCATAGATTCCAGATTAAGGAAAGACAGTTCTCCCTAAGCTTCATATACCCAGTGTTTCCTAAGAGTCTGTGCTGGGTCATTCCTGGGCTGTACACTTGGGCTACAGTGATGGATAAGACTCACTTCTTACCCTTGAGGCATTTGCATTTTAGAGGCATAGTGGCCATACCAGGAGGTACAATATACTGTGTCGATTAGCAGTCTAAGAAGTACCCTGTGTCCAGACTTAGGAACCACACCACAATCTGATCGCAGTGCAACTACTAACTACATGACCCTGAGGGGTGATTAAGCATCTCTAAGTAACTCATTTTTCTCATCTGTAAAATGAGAATTATGTCTTTCTTTAAAGTAGTTGTCATGATCGTAGGATATGATCCATGTGTTGTTCTTAGCATGATAGCAAGCATTCAGCAAATATAGGCCATTTTAATGGAAATGTCCCATAAAACTTGCACTACTCATAAAAGAATAAAATGCTGGTTGTTTCTTCTCTCTGAGACAGAGAAGGAAGTGTGACTTATTCTTCCTGTAAGACTAAAGGGAGGCTTCCAAACAAGGGTAAGCTGGGCTTTAAAGGATGACTAGGAGTTCATTGGGGAGAGAAAAGGAAATCAAACAGAGGGAGCAGTCAAGTTAGTGTAAGAGGGAAAAGGCAGAAGGTATTTAGGGAACAGTGCGAAGTTCCCCAAATTGGAGGGAGTTTTTGAGGGTTGAGGAGTCAAGCTAGAGTGGTACTTGCTCCTGATCCAAGGGAAAGGAGAACAGGTAAGAAGAGAAGAGGGGGCAGCACAAGGCGAGAGCCTGACCCAACCCCTTGTCCCCACAGGTGACCACCCGTACGAGTGTGAGTTCTGTGGCAGTTGTTTCCGGGATGAGAGCACACTCAAGAGCCACAAACGAATCCACACCGGGGAGAAACCCTACGAGTGCAACGGCTGTGGCAAGAAGTTCAGCCTCAAGCACCAGCTGGAGACGCACTATAGGGTGCACACAGGTACTGAGGGCCAGTGAGGGGACCTGGGTGGGCTGGGGAGCAGGAAGTTCGCCAGAGAACCCAAGTCAGGATGGTCCAAGGCTGAACTGGGGAGAAGAAGTTCTGTGAGGCCTCAATGCCATCCCCACCCCCACCAGGCCAAGGCAGACAAGACCAATCAATCACAGCACACTTTACCAGGGCCCGGGTCAGCCCCGAGGCAGCCACACTAATGTCAGGGCTGACATGCAAGGTGATATCTATTTATGAGTTCTGATTTAGGGTTAAATTAGCTGGAAGTGAAGATTACGGTGATTTTGTGTTGCTGGAGGGTTAGAGTAAGAATTAGAGTACATTGAATTAGGCTATGATAGGGTTGGGAAATTGTGATGTTAGATCAAGTTCAGTTCTGAGATTAGAGGAGCAGATGTGTTTAATTAATAATCCCTTGATATGTATGATGTTTCACCATTTCAAAGTACCTTGACATTCCTTTCTACCTAAAAGAAACGTGAGCAACTGTTTTCCCTGGGGTCTGAGGTCCAGACTTCCAGGAATTCCTGCATTAGGAACAGTGGAGTCGTGGGGTTGGCTTGTGCTTGCTTGAGAAAGCCTGTTTTTTCCCAGTTTCAAGTTCAGTGACATCATCTTCATTGCTTAAAATTGGTTGTGGAGGAAGTACTATATTTGCACCATAGCAGTAGGCAAATGCTACAGATCAGGGCTTTTTGGAGAGCCACGTGTTAAACACTTCCAGCACACTGCCAGTTAGCGGGGAGGTGGCTATTCAGAGGGGCATCCTCACAGAATGAGAGCTGGCAGAATCTGGAAAATTATGAAGCCATCTCTGATCAGATTAGACAGCTGTCCTGTCTAGAAGAAGGAGAAGAGATGACCTCAGGCAGGTCCTGCTGGCTTAGGGGACAGTGTGTTGCTGTGGGAGAGAAGAAGTGGGCAGAGAGAGTGGTAAGCAGAGCTGTGTGTTGTCAGAGCTGTTTTTTTCCTCCAGCTTGGGGCCACAGGGAGAGGATGGGGTGCTCACTGCTGACAACTCAAGTGACCCAGAGGATTTCCCAGAGCCCTGGGGTTTCCTTAGCCCCTTGTTGGGGATGTGACCTGGCCAGTGGATCATTAAATGCATTGACAGTGACTATTGTAAATAGCTGGTCAATAGTTAGATCACTTTGGCTGTTCATTACTTCATTATTTGCTGGAGCCTCTGTAAGGAAGAGTATTGATAGTGAGATGGCTGGCCAGTTAATTACTGTATCGAAAAAGGTTCCCTTACATCCTCTGCTCAGCTGCAGGGGACTCCAGTGGAGGAGAGATCCTTGGGTAGGGTACCAGGCTAAAGTATGGCTATGGCCCCCGCTTCTTCCCCAGAAGGAAAGACAGGGTCCAACACAGTTTCTTAGCACTTTACTGGGCTAGATACCCCAGATGTAGAGAATATGAAGAACTGGAGTTCATGGGTGCCTCCCACCCCTGGTCCTTAACATCTGTAGCCCTGGAAGGACTGTACTCTCCTGCTCCTACTGGGTGAATTGAGTGAGGAGCCATCCCCAAGGATTTCAGGGCCTTGTCCCCTTTTGAGACATTTATTTCCTTAATTAGAAGAGAAGAGCCCTGGCCTTTGGGAAAGTTAAGAATAGTGAGGCAAGGGGCTAGTGCTGTGCTGCACATTCCTGTATCCACAAGCCACATGTGGCTGTTCACATTAGGCACCATGATGTACAGCAAAGAACATAGCATCCCTGTGACACTAGCCACATCTGTGGCGGTATGTGGCTGGTAGCTGCCATGTTGGATGGTGTGTCCATCATCTTGGAAATGCTATTGGAGAGCATTGGACTAGAGGGATGAGATTCTCCCACATGCCCAAGGGTGGCCCCAAAAACCCTCATGGTCCTCCCCCTTTGTCTTCACTCTCTCCTACTTTGTCCCTCCCTCCCCAGGTGAAAAGCCCTTTGAGTGCAAGCTCTGCCACCAGCGCTCCCGGGACTACTCTGCCATGATTAAGCACCTGAGAACACACAATGGCGCCTCGCCCTACCAGTGCACCATCTGCACGGAGTACTGCCCTAGCCTCTCCTCCATGCAGAAGCACATGAAGGGCCACAAGCCTGAGGAGATCCCGCCCGACTGGAGGATAGAGAAGACTTACCTCTACCTGTGCTACGTGTGAAGGGAGGCCCATGCAGTGGAGCAGGAGCAAGAGCCAGGAAAGACGAGTTAGAGCGAGATGAAGTTGAGGGAGAACTGTGCAAAGAAAAAAAAAGATAAAAATATAAAAAGAAAAGAAAAAGAAAATGAGAGAGAAGGAAAGCCCAATAGCTATTTGGCATTGGATTCTCTCTGGGGCTCCAGGTGACCTGGATGCCAAGCCACTGGCCTTTCCCTGGGGGCCTCTGCCCTCCGTGGAGGCTGGAGGCTTGCTTGATTTTTATGGGTGGGTAGGGGTGGTTTTGTTCACTTCCATGGTGGCATATTTTTCTCCTCCCTCTACCCAGACCCTCCATCTGTGTTTAGAAATGGAGGCTGGAAAGGGAGTGAGAGAGCCTCTGGTCAGAGCCACACTCTCTGCCTGCCCTCCTCCCGCTGTCTCCTCAGAAGATGGAGGGAGGGAAGCAGAGCGGGGGCTGCAGATAGTATGGGGGTCCCCAGTTGATGCTCACAATGGCAGCTCTGGTTTTCTGGGGAAAGGTTGGCGGGGGAGAAGACTCTCTTCCCACCACTCACTTCATCTGATGCTTTCCTCTGCCCTGCCACATCTGGGTGTCCCTCAAGGTCTCTGAGAGCCTCTTTGCTCTTCCCATCCCCAGCTCCTTTGGCTGCTGTCCTCCAGGTCCCAGGAGCTCCTACCCCCTAAGGGATCTGGGCAATATTTCCTTCCTCCTCTGGTTCCTTGTGGGAAAGCTGCAGCCCGCTCCAGAGCCCCTTCCTCCCCTTAGCTTTCTGATAACCCAGAACAAAATACATCAGATGCCCACCCAGGCCAAGCCCCACCTTGAACAAGATTCCTGCTGAGCTGTCTTTGCTTCCAAAATGGAAAAACATAGCAACTAAATAGGTTATATCTCACCAGCCAAACATACACCCCACTACAACCCTGTGTCGGTCCCTAGGGGAAGGAACCCATTAAAGGGCTCATTGTCCAAGGGAAAGCTGTGGATGTCCTTCTACAGAGGTGCCCTACATTTGGAGGAGGGAACAGACACCCACCCCAGGGTGGGGGAGCTGGCCGGGGGAGGAAGTCACTATCATACTGGGGACGCTTTAAGCACGGGGCCTGGGAACCCCAGTCCCAATGAGCCCAGCAGGAAAACCCAGGACCAGACAGCAGCACAGAATTGCTGGCTTACAGGCCCTCCAGTCCACAGGGCGGAAGAGGAGGAGGAGGAAGGGCGGGGAGGAGGAGAAGCTGAAAGCTCTTTGGCTTTGTGTATGTTTTGCTTCTTTTCTGTGTCCCCTGGTAGCACATTGTACTTGAATTACCTCAGTTTTTTTTGTGACCTCATGAGCTTTTAAACCCCATATCATCATCATCATCTTCTTCTTCCTCTTCTCCTTCTTCTTCTTCTTCTTCTTCTTTTTCTTCTTCTTCTTCTTCTTCTTCTTCTTCTTCTTCTTCTTCTTCTTCTTCTTCTTCTTCTTCTTCTTCTTCTTCT